GATCTTGACGGTCTTGTCGGGATTGGCACTGGAGAGTGGAACGATCTTGATTGCGCCGTCCGGTTTCGGCGTCTTGTTTGTCTTGCTCACTTTCTTGGGTGGCTTGGTCGTGGCGGGTGGGCTGGGCGTTTGCTCGACCATGTCGAGGCTCCGTTTGTCGCATTGCACCGCCAGCTTTGCATTCCCTTAAATAGTGATTATTCCCTTCGGTCCCGGCATCTTGAGCACTTGATACGCGTAGTGAGATGCGGCCATAAACTTCGCAAGTGCAGTTCTCCCAATGATGGCGTTATAAGCTGTATCGAATTCAGCGACATCAAAGGTGATCTGCTCTATTCGGAAGTTGTTAGCTTGGCCGAAAGTCACAGGCAACGTAATCTTGCCCAATGGTTTGGACGATGACTGGGGAGTAATTCCATGAAAGGGTTAATCGGTTGGTGTCAATTCGCTTTGCGGAATTCCCATCGCGTCCAAAGTGCCGGCGAAAAGAAGGTTGATTGAGCTGCCACCATCGATGAGAACCCGCGTGACCTTGATGTTCCGAATAGTGGGTTCGACCACGATCGGATATCGTCCTGGGATGACGGCAGTCTTGGGGTGGTCTTCTTCCGAGAATTCTATCTTCTGTTCAGACCACTTCATCTTGGGTGCAGCCCCCTGCCATGTCGAACAGACTTCACGTTCCACTTTCTTGTATTCTCGCTTTGAGGAGTACGTTGTGGAACCTCCGAAGATGTGTGAAACGTGGAGGTCAGAGTCTGGATATGCTGAGTCCGACTCCTTGGGAGCCGCTTCCGCATCCTTTTCGACCACGCGTACTCGCTTGCCTTTTTCAAATGCAATGTGCTTCTCGAGCGACTTTTTGAAAACAAGGCAATCTTCCAAAGAATGTCTGTCCGTTTTGTGTATGGGGCACCATGCTTTCTTTGCGTCGCTACCTTGTGGGTCTGGGCGCTTGGGAGGGTTCGCGTATTCTGCTGCGAGGACTTCCGCTTGAGCTTTCCTTTTCCCATTTTTGCGATTTTTCTTCTTGCTTGACTCAGGTGCGTCCGTGGCTAGTTTCTTCTCTCCCCCGGTCTTCGGCTTATCGTTCTTGCGTCTTAGCGCATCATCTGCGTGGGCGCATCGCTCAACAATTTCGAACAATCTCTGAGTAGTTGTGATGCGTCTTGTTGCCAACTCCTGAGTAGTATAGCGATCTCTGACGCAGGACTTGAAGGCGCGAATTATAGAAGTGTCGGTGATTTCGGGGATTGTATTTCTGCACTCGTTGAAGCGCCGAACATATTCCCTCAAGGATTCACTCGAGTTCTGTGTTAACGCGTGTAGGTCGTCTTCGATCGCGTGGCGCTTGTAGGTTCCTTAGAAGTTGGCGACGAACTGCTGCCACAGGTCTGCCCACGAAGAGATCGAGTAGGGCGGGAGATGCATCAGCCATGAACGTGCAGAGCCATTTAACGCGGTTGGCAAATAATTTGCTAATGCATTGTCGTCTGCTCCGGCAACGTAGAGTACTGTGGAGTAGACTTGAAGGAACTCTTCTGGGTCGGTGCTCCCATCGTACTTCTCTATTGCTCCAGGTCGGAATCTCTCAGGCCATCGGACATCATGCAGGGAACGACTGAAAGCTCTACACCCAGCGCTGGGGGCGGTGGGTTATCGGCGATCGTGTGTCCTTCATGGATGTCTATCTGATGATGAGGAAGACGAGGATAATGACGATGACGATGGGTCGCTTGGTTCCAGTGTACGATTACGAGGTTGTCGGCCTGGCTCTCGAGAATCCTGTCGCCGTCTCCCGCTGTTGTCTCGGCGCCGGTCTCCATCATCGTCGTCATTATGGCGACGTCCTCGACCAGTATCGCCTGGCACCCGCTGTTCGCGATCGTTGTGATCGTGGCGGTTATCACGGTCTCAGTCTTCGTTTGAACGGTCTCCTCGATCTTTGTTATCATGACGCCGTGAAGAGACATGACGCCGGGAACGGTTCTCGTTGTCTTGTGTGCGTCGTGCCTCTCGGCTGCCGTTGAGGTGATCACGGAGATCGCCGGTGCCGCGAGGTGGAGGGGTGGCTCGTTGAGGCGATTCCCTCCGTTCAGGGTTTTCACCATTGGCATCGCCAGTTGGTGGCTGCTCTGGGTGCGCTGCGGCAGCGGCCTCTTCGAACGCGTTGCTGAGGTTGGTCACTGATTCCCGTAGTCGTTCTGTCCAACGCGCGAGATCATCGTTCAGAACGGGATCGTAGGGGGTTTCCCTCAGTATAGCGTTGACGGCTCTGATGTGTTGGGCCGGAGTGGCTACTTGATTCTCCGCTTCTGCATTGGTGCGCTGTGACGTGCCGACATCATCAATAGCCAATATCTCCCGTGGCACGCTCGTTGTCGATGATCCATAGTCTTCGAGGAGGTGCAAGACTGATGGTTCGTGGGGATCGATGTCGATTACCCCAACAAATCGATCCGAAGTTGGCGTCGCTCCTCATTCCTTGTCTTTATCCCTGATGAGGATGTGTGACTGTTGGACCTTAGGAGATGGCGCCTTCATGGCGCTGAGAAAGACCTTGCAGCTTGAGAGGTCGTGATTCTTTGTCTTGTGAATAGGAGAATAGACATCACGAGTTGGAGAAATACGCTGAATTCCACGCTCTTTGCAGGAGCGAATTTCAGCGCGGACGTTGAGAAAAACCCAGCAGGCTTGCAAAGTGTGTTTCCTGGTTTTGTGGATAGGACACCAGGACCTTGTCGCTTTGGAAGTCATCCTCGTCGGCTCGTGGTTCTTGTCGGAGTGACAAGCTTTGGTCGCCTTGGAATCCTTCTCGAGCTCAGATGTCGTTCATGTTCCGTTCTCTGCCTCGGCGGGAGGATTTTTCGACATGGAGTCGTCTTGGTTTGTATCCACTGCGTTCTCGTTTCCGGTCACTGATGGACCGGCTGAGATCGGCATCGTGGTGTAAACCGGGAAGACGATTTTGCCGACTTGAGTCTACACCAGCATTGTTGAAGCAGGGAATACTTGGTTGAGGTTGGTGTTGACGCTGTTGTCGACGAAGCTGGATGACATAGTAGTAGAACCTTGAGCACCAAGTGCCCCTACCTGGCGCGCCACTATCGACGGGTGATACCCATAGACCGGATATAGAGGGTATTGGAGTACGTTGTTACAAGGGTCCACGTAATACGACATCAAGCAAACAAAAGACGAAGATTATACTGGTTCAGGCCCCTTGATAGGTAATAGCCCTAATCCAGTTGACGTGGGATTATATGATGGAAAACACAGGTTACAAAGGGAACAATGGAATTCGATGGATCCGACAAGATCGTAGTCGAGTTGGTTCGACTAGATCTGTGGGGGTTGTGTTGGCTTTGAGATTTGATGCCTTAGGTCCTCCCTGGGGGGTCCCTTTTATATCGCAGGTCAGGCGGTTTCCAAGTAGAACTCGGAGACATCAAACCCTACACGATACATTGACGACCCAGTCTTGTCCGAGTAGGACTCTTTTCGTCCGTAAACTCTGTGAAGGATTTCCTTAGTGTATGTAGAGAGTATCCGTATGCGCGTGGGCATGCCATACCGATATGTGACATATATCAAAGGGTAAAGGGTATACCTAACCCGTAACCCTGACACACCCCTACCGACGAGCCTCAATTCCCTAAAGCCGCCTCGACCGCTCGCTTCCATGTCGCCGCCCTACGCCGCACCTCTGCTGCCACCTAGAAGCCTACGAGCGATAGGATACGGACTGAAGAAGGAATAGGAGTGATTGTATACATGGGCCTTGTTTGGATCCTCCGGGCTATTAAATATCCCTCCGGAATCTTGCTATTTAGGATTATTAAACGTAGATTACCGACAAAACCGATTCCATAACCCCTAGGCTATTTTGCGAGACGAATCTAATGATGTATACTAATCCATAATTAGCGGCTGATTACTGTAGCATCACTGTAGCAAATCATGGATTAATATACCTCGTTAGATTCGTCTCGCAAAATAGCCTAGGGGTTATGGAATGGGTTTTGTCAGTAATCTACGTTTAATACTCTTAAATAGCAAGATTCCGGAGGGCTATTTAATAGCCCTCCGGATCCAAACATGGCCATGGACTAAAGAAGAACTTGGTTGAGTACATAGGTAGGGTATTGGGCTACGAATGTGTAGGCACCGTTCACTTGTCGGCTTCTCACCAAATAGCCTAGCTAGTAAAACTATAGCAAACTGTCATCAATTAGATATCTGGGTTGTGCAGAACAAACATGCTACGAGCCTACGAACGATTGGATATATGGGTGGTAATTTCTCCCGTGGGGTTGGGGTTGGGGACCCGGTGAGTACCCGCCCCTACAGGGACGGGTGGGAATTCTAACCCGCAGGGGAAGCGGGTGGGGGCCCTGGTCATTTCTGGGTGCGAGGGCAGGGATGGTATATTACCCACGGGACCCCAAAGTAGAAAGTACACCAGAGAAAGCCCATGTTCCCTTACCCAACAGGTAGTTCAGTTCGGTGGTAATAATTTGGCCCAACAATATAGCAAAAGCCCATAAAAAATGAGAGCCCAGTTGGCAGCTACTCCCTCCGTCCAATAATATAAGGGATTTTGAGTTTTTACTTGTAGTGTTTGACCACTCGTCTTATTAAAAAAAATTATGCAAATATAAAAAACGAAAAGTTGTGCGTAAAGTACTTTAGATAATAAAGTACTCCCTCCGTCCAAAAAAAGACAAACCCTAGTTTCCGTGCCCAACGTTTAACCGTCCGTTTTATTTGAAAAAATTATGAAAAAAATTAAAAAGACAAGTCACGTATAAAATATTAATCATGTTTTATCATCTAACAACAATAAAAATACGAATTATAAAAAAATTTCATATAAGACGGACAGTCAAAGTTGGATACGAAAATCCAGGGTTTACCTTTTTTTTGGGACGGAGGGAGTAAGTCACAAAAAAGTAAATAATAATTCCAAATTTTTTTGAATAAGACGAGTAGTCAAACCGTGCAAGCAAAAACTCAAAATCCCTTATATCATAGGACGGAGGGAGTAGTTCAGTAGAGGTTGTACATACAAGTGAACAAACAGCCAAACCAACAAGGGAAGACCCTAGGATCCCCAAATCGTTTTCAAATTAAAATACATCTTATAACGTTTTCAAATTATGTCGTTTTCAAATGACACTTCTGGCACCCTCCACGAAGGCCGTCAGATTACGATCCGACGACCCTCCTTTCCCTAGAGCCTCCGCCACCGCTCGCTTCCACGCCGCCGCCGAGCGCCGCACCTCCGCCGCCTCCCCGTCTCCCATCACCTCCTCGACCCGCCGCCTCAGCTCCGCCGCGCGCAGCACGCCGTCGCCGCCGTCCACCTCCGCGCGCACGCCGACGCGCCAGTCGCGCTCGACGAGCCGCGCGTTCATCTGCTGGTCCGACATCCGCGGGACGCCCACCATGGGCACGCCCGACGCGATGCTCTCCAGCACCGAGTTCCAGCCGCAGTGCGTGACGAAGCACCCCACCGCCGCGTGCGACAGCACGCGCACCTGGTCGCACCACTCCACCACCACGCCGTTCCTGCGCGCCGCCGCCGCCGCCGTCGCGTCGCCCGTCTCCGCCACGGCGGCCTTGTTGTCCTTCCGCACCACGCAGAGGTACGGCCTCCCGCTCTCCTCGAGGCCATGGAGCAGCTCGTCGACCTGCCCCTTCGCCATGACGGTTAAGCTCCCGAACGCGACGTACACCACCGAGCCGGCCGGCTTGGTGTCGAGCCACTCCATGTACTTGGCGTCGTTCTGCTTGAACAGCGCGGCGTCGTCGCCGGACGGGAGCACCGGGCCGATGGGGAGCACGTCGTACGCCCCAACGGCGGCGAGCGTGTCCGCCTCGAGTTCTTGGAACACGTTGACGAGCACGGTGGCCTTGGGTGTCTCCCTGTCGAGGGCGTCGAACAGGTCGCGGAACGTGGTGAAGATGCTGTGGAAGTAGTCGGAGGGGTCGGTGGCTTCGGTGAGGAAGGACGGGAGGTCCCCGGCCGCCATCGGCGGAAGGCCCGGGAACTCCAGGACGAACGAATGGTCGCGGCGGTGCTCGTCGACGACGCCGCCGAGGCCGTGGAAGTAGTGGCAGTAGATGGCCAGCACGGCGACGGGCTGGATCCAGTAGAGCGCGGACGGCACGCCGCGGTCGCGCGCGACGTCGGCCGCCCACGGCAGGAGGAGCGTGTAGACGACGCTCGACACGGGGCGCCCCCGCGCCGCGAGCGCGTCGACCATCTCCCCGACGCTGCGCCGGCCCGAGGCGTGGAACGACGCCATGTACGCGCCGAGCTCCGCGGCGTCGCCGCGCTTGACGAACCCGTTCTCGGTGCCGTCGGAGAACGGGAGGAGCTCGAGCCTGCCGTCGCCGTCGCCGCCCTCCCCCTCGGCGAACATGCGGCGGTGCGCGGCGGCGGCGGTGGAGAAGGTGACGAGCGCGTCGGGGGCGGCGGCGAGCAGGCGCCTGGCGAGGCGGAGCGCCGGCGCGATGTGGCCCTGGAGCGGGAACGTGAGCACGAGGAAGTGCGGCCTCGGCGTCGGCGACATGGCTCCACAGGTCACGAGTCACCGACGTGTGGCTCTCGGTTAGCTAGCTGTAGTGAGAGCTCTAGCTCAGCTCAGCTATGGCGCATAGGCAAAATGGGTGGCAATTGGCCAGCTATTTTTTATCTGTTAGTGGTGTGGCGTTTCGTGTGGCGAGCGAGAGGAGTGCACAAGAGTTCGAGATGGCAGTGTCGCATCCACGAACTCAACCAGCGTTGCTTTTAGTTACCTTTAAACTTTTAAAAATTCCACCACATTAAATGTTTGGGCATATATATATATATAGAGCATTAAATATAGACGAAAAAAACCAATTACACAGTTTGCATGTAAATTGTGAGACGAATCTTTTAAGCATAATTGCGTCATGATTTGATAATGTGGTGCTATGGTAAACATTTGCCAATAATGAATTAATTAGGCTTAATAAATTCGTCTCGCAGTTTACCGTCGGAATATGTAATTTGTTTTATTATTAGTCTATGTTTTATACTTTAAATGTGTGCCCGTGTACTTTAAAATTTTTACACCTAAACAACTAAACACGGTCCAGATTAGTTGGCGTCATCACTGAGCTTAAGTTGGATTAGAAAAAAGACGAGTAAGACTGTTCTTCCTGACCTTACCCAGTGTCGATCAGATTCGGTCGAGATCTTGTCGTCTGTTTGCCAGTTCCGTCGTGGAGTTTGAGTCCAGCGACATATGTCCCCCCCGCTTGGTCATTGTCTAGACTGAAAATTTTGTAGTTAGTCTCGTACTCCCTCCATAAAAAAAAACAAGTCTAATAGGGTTCTCTTTTAGCACAACGAATCTGGACAAATCTTTTTTAGGTTGGGTATTTTTAAGACAACCTTAAAGGATCCCTTTCTAGTACAACGAATCTAAACAAACTCTTTCTAGGTTGGTTTTTTTTGGACGGAGGGAGTATGCTCCAATGGCTTGCTCCCGGGCTAATGTACTATTATTTGGTGTTTGGACACGCATATGCATCTCTTCCATAGTTGGAAAGGAAAATTTCTATCTATTGAAGGAGGGCTCACACTAATTAACTTAGTGTTTATTCACGTCTTAAAACAAGACCCAATCTAATTGGGGGATGTGACACGACCAACTTGGTATAATGGATTTAGATATAAAGGTATCCAGATTTGTTATACTATATTCTTTCTTTTGTTTCATAATGTAAGTCATTCTAGTATTTCCCATATTTGTATTCATGTATATGTAATGAATATATATATATATATATATATATATATATATATATATATATATATATATATATATATATATATATATATTCATTAACATAAATATGAATGTGGGAAATACTAGAATGACTTACATTGTGAAACGGATGGAGTATGTCACATCCCATTTAGATTGAGTTTTTTTTTCATGAATGAAGTACTTCACAGTAGCGAGAGGAATTTTTTTAAAAAAAATCTACTATTTTTGCTCTGGTTTTTGTTGTTAGAGTGATGGTAAAAAAAAAAGCCAAGTGAGACATACTATGCCGCCTTAAAGATAAGGTGGTTTAGAAATTCAGTATTACTCAGTAAGTGGCTATTTCAGTTGCTTACTGTAGATGATGTTTGGAAACAGCTAATACAAAATAAGTATTTGAGTTCACAGCCGCTCACGCAAGTTCAGTAGAAGGCCGGAGACAGCCTAATGAAGATGAAATGAGATCTCTTTTGTCTTGGATCCTACATAATTAAGAATGGTTACTAAATTAAATTAGATTATGGAAAGACAAATGATTGGGAGATGTAACCCTACGAGAACAGTACACTTTCCTCTACAGTGTTGTTAGGTATAAATAGGTAACTATTGCAGATGTTTTAGAGAACAGATCTAACTAGATCAAAATTACTGGCATGGAATAATTTATTATCACACATCACTAATATTGATTTAATTCAGGAGCAATATTAGTTTATATGGAACTTAACCCTTAATGGACGGTTGAATGTGAAGTCCATAGTGACATCCCAAATCTCTGAAAACTAAAAGTGCCTTTGAAGGTTAAAATTTTCCATTGATACATTCGTCGCGGAGTTGTGTTAACCAAAGATAATTTATGTAAACATAATTGACAAGGCAATTAAAATTATTGTTATTCACAAGAAGAAGAAGACAATTAAACCCTTTTTCTTTGAATGCCACTTAGCCCATTTAGTGTGGAGTAAGGAATTATTCCATCTGGTAGTATTTCACGCAAATTCACTAGTTGGATTTGGGGTGTTCAAGAAGATCTGCAACCATATATATCTTGTTAGGGGCGACTGCTATATGCTGGTTGCTTAAGGGGGTGTTTGGGAACTAGGGACTAAATTTAGTCCCTCTCACAAAAGTATAGGGACTTATATTTTTGTGAGAGGGACTAAAGTTTAGCCCCACTTTAGTCCCTCCAACCAAACACCACCTAAGTTATATGCTGGTTGCTTAAGTTATGTTGGAGTGATATGTTTTTTTGATAGAAATTTTTTTTCTCCCATGCAGGCTATCTATTTAACTATCCATTGGCTACGCACTTGGGTTATACTATAGAAACCCAGCTTGCACCTTGCAGGATTTGATTATTGCCGGCATATCTATGTTTGGAGCATGTGGTCAAGAGTGTTTTAACAGGGACATGTGTGGTGATCTAATATTACGATTGATAGTTGTTAGGGAAATTTTACTACAGGACATCGTGACTTCGCGGTTTTAGCTGTAGGACACCGCACGAAGTGACTTTTAGGGAAGACACTCTCAAAAGTTAAATATTTACTGGTGGACATCCTACTCATTAAAATAATAATTTCCGGTCGAAGATGAGAGATAAATCGCGTGAAATGTCAAAAATGCCCTTCAGCCCACATATCAGCTCTCCTATCTCTCTTCTCTCTCTATCCCCTCCTCCATGCCGCTCGGCGAAGAGCACGAGCTGGCCGCGGCCAAGAACCGCCGTTCAAGTGTGCTGTCGAGTAGACGAAAGACACCATCATCGCGAGAAACGATGCGGGGAAGAAGCGGGCGGCCGTGGAGGAGCTCCACCGGTGCGACGAGCTATGACGGTTGCGGTCAGAGGTCGTCGCGTTGAGGAAGGAGAAGCACACGCTGGAGCAGCGGGTGCTCGTCCGGCACTAGGCCACCTGCACGTTGCAGCTGGCGTGGTCCACGGCCACCGCCGGCCGCCGCTACTGAGTAGGCCGCGCTCTTGGCACCGCCGCGTGCGTCGCCGCCGCTGAGTAGGCTGCATGTGCTCCGGGCTTTGCCACCACCGTCGAGCAGGCCGCCGCAGCCGCCGCCGAGTAGGCCACACACGCTGCCGCTGCTAAGTGGGCATCCGCTGTCGTGTAAAAGAGAGAATGAAAGAGAGATGGGAATAGATAAGGAAGAAGAGAGGATCAGAATGAGATAAGAGGGGTAATTTGGTCAAGCTGTGTAAAAAAGTGGGCCCCCTCTCGTCTAGTCAGCACGAAAATATTAATTTAATAGATGTAGTGTCCCTTGGTAAATTACCACATTTACATAGTGCGCTCCCTCAAAAGTGACTTCGTGCGGTGTCCTACAGCTAAAACCACGAAGTCGCGGTGTTCTGTAGCAAACTTTGCCTAGTCGTTAATGCTGCTTGTACTTTCTTTCTTTTAAACTTGTTGGTTTCTGTTATAGCTACATACATCCTAGTTAGGCAGAGGCCGAGCGCATTCTCGGAGTAATTATTAGTTATTACTACTAGAGAATTAATCTTTTATTGTGGTACCCAAAATCACAAATATCTTGATTAGATTAGGAACCGGTACTAAATATGCTTTAGTATCGGTTCTAAAAATTTAACTTCATGGAAACTTTTTTAGTCCTAGTTGGTGTTACCAACTAGTACTAAAAATGCATCTTTAGCACCAGTTGGTAACACTAACCAAGACTAAAGAGCTCTCTAGCTCTTTAGTCTCGGTTGGTAGCTCTTTAGTCTCGGTTGGTGTACTAAAGATATTTTTAATACCGGTAAGATGTCTACAGGGTTAGTTAATATCTATCCAAGTTAGATGTGTGTAGTAGGAGGGACGGTAACGTAGGATGAGGTGAGAGATCTTGAGTTCGAATCTCTCACATCCCACATATTTTTTTTAACTTGATATGCAAATTTAGTACCGGTTATTTCAGTCGATACTTGAAGATCGAGATCTTTAGTCTCGATTTGTTGGTCACGGTGTTATAACCGGAACTAGTGGGGGTTTTTAACCGGGAATAAAAATGAGTTCTCCACCGGTCTATATTACCTTGGTGTAATCATCAAGTTCAATAAAAAAAATTACATTATCTTGTATCTATTACTACTTAAAAATTTTAAGAGATGTTTCCTTCGTCCGTCTAAATAAAAAAATAGAAAAAAAAACCTAAAATAAAAAAGTCTGATTCCCCATAAGAAAGTGGCGAAAATAAAAGAAAACTACATTTTGTTCGTTTTCTTTTTTTTTCCTGTTTTTTTCCTTTTATTTTCTTTTCCCGTTTCTTTTTTTTTCTTTCACCTTTTTTCCTGTTTTCTTTGTCCGTTTTCTTTTTCCCCTCTTTGCGTATTTTCTTTCACCAATTTTTCTGTTTATTTCTTTTATCGCTATATTTTTTTGCGGTTTTTTTATCGGGCCAAACCCAGCGCCGCCGCCACGTTGATTTTACTCCCCATATGCTTCCTCCTCCTATTCGTTGCAATAATTGATTCCCCACTACTCTCTCATTATTTTCCCCATGAATTCCCCTTTTGATTCAGCTTTAATTCATCAGATTGAATCTCCATTTAATCATAGTTATTTTTTATCTCAAGTTTTGCAGATTGCTTCGATTTTGATGAACCATTTAATCGTCGTCATTTTTTATCCCAAGTTTTGCTGATTGCTTTAATTTTGGTAAAAAAAAGGAAAAGGAAGATCAAGTGGATAAAAATCCCTCAATAATTTTGGATATGGAGAAAGATTCGACCGGATTTGATGGAGAGGATCGGCTTCGTTAGTCATCGTATGGGTACGGAACTATGCGAGCTCGAGCGGATTACCGTATTTGATGGGAGGATCGGCTCCGTCATGGTATAAGACTATGGGAGCTCGAGCGGATTACCGGATTTGATGGGAGGATCGGCTTTGTAATGGTACGGACATAATACTGTTCGACTTGGGCCTACAACTCCATTTATGGACTGAGCCAAAGAGAGGTAGACCGAGCAGAGAGAGATAGCGGACTGTACTAGGACTAGAGCTGAAAAGGACAGAAGGAATGTGCGTTCGTTTGGTCCAAAACGCATGGGCATTAAAGGGAGCATAGTGCGTAGGATAAAAAATATTTTTACCCGTTGCAACGTACAAACATTTTTTTCTAGTAAGGAAAACATGTATCTCTTTTTGACCAAACGAACGTACGGGGGGGCCTTGATTGGCAGATGAAGCTATCAGGTTCCAACTACCGTTTTCCAAAAGTGAGATTGGATGCAATGGAGCTATCAAGTCTCGTCTAATGATTGGTTTTGGCTATAAGATCAATGAACACCACAAATGGATATGCGGTAGTTAGGCGGGAATACACTCGTGAAGTTAGTGACAAAATTAAAATAATCTTAAATTGTACATTAGTAACATAATTTTTAGCATTCAAAATTAATAAAAATAAGTTAATTAATTTCTACCCTCTTAACTACGTCAACAAAATCGAGAAGTCTTATACTTTCAATATCACTTACCTATCACGTGGTAATACACTGATACTCCTACTACGTAATTTTCTATTCTTAACGAGAAGTACTTTAGACTTTTCCCCTCGCTACTAATTACTAAATTTACCTACGATGACTAAAATAAGTCTAGAGTATTATACATTGGACCGATCTTCTCTTCATACGTCTGCCTACTCGGCTATTAAGCTTCTTGCCTAGTTAAACAACTCAAGCACTAATGTAATGTGAGGAGAGACATGTGCTGAATGTTTGGACAAGTTGAGTATAGAACAACCATTAGGTTTTGGTGCCCTGGGATGGGATGAAAAAACACGGTCTTTAATTCAAACAAATCTTACCATTTAGTCAATTATAAAGGGTCGGTGTCCTTGTCTCTAGGCTTTTGACAGTCAACACTTATCATAAGCTAACATGTAGCACGCTTGTACTATTGGTAAGCAGCTAGGCAAGCAATAGGGGGCATGCGCTTGAATATAGCACGCTTGCACATAGCACCCCATCTCTAGGTTATTAGCTCTCCCGTGCCCCTTCCCCCCTCCCCCGTCCCCCCATCCCCTTTGGGCTCCGACTGGCACCTATCCTATTCCCTTTCCACCGCCATCGTTCTCCTCTCCCCTCCCCATGGTGCTTATCTCCTACCTAAAACCCAGCGACAATGGCAATGGCAGTTGAAGGCGATTGGTGGAGTTGATGCTGGGTCTCGCCTAGTGCACCGCGCGGTCAATGAGAAGGTTGAACATAGGCGAGGGCCACCGTCTCCGACCTTCCACGCATCATTGTTGTTGGCGTTGCCTCATCCAATCATTGAGCACCACTGTGTAGGTGTTGCATCAGTATCGCCACCGTTTAAATACTAGATATGCGTCGTATACTTCCAGATCCGCGTAAAAGGAACTAGACAGCTCCAACTAGCGAGCTCAACACCCGGTGACGGTGACGGTGGTAAGGTCATTTTGATAAGTTTAAAGGTTGTTCTAGACCTGTCTCTGTCCTCTCCGGCCATTTTCTTTTCCCTTTTCGGCCGCAACTTCTCTCTCTAGCTATCTCGCGAAAGAAACGTGCACAATAGAGGAGGAGACCTGCACGGCTGTCAAGGCATCCGTGCCCCTGCAAGGCACGAGCGCTCTCGTGGGGCACGCAGTGCTGATCTGGATTAGAATCTCCGAGCTGGCAACATGAGACCACTAGATAAGAGTACTCACATTGTAGTCTACACCTAACTGGATACTCAACTTCTACATAATAAGAAAGTAAATAGAACCACACATCTCGACGGTGCACCGTGTTTCCATTGGCCCATGCAATTTTGTCATTTAAGCCCATGCATATTTTGTTTCAACCCTTGTTATATATTAATTTTTTTTCTAGTTAGATCTTTACATAAAGGACCTTTTTCTAAACAAAAATATATCAAAGATGTTCTCTGCTGCCCCACCTGTTTGTGATACAGAACAATGGAATCCCATCTCCTTCCACTATCCCTCCTGCCCGGCTGCCCGATGATGCCGACAACCTCCTCACCTCCCTCTCCCAATAAGCTCCTAACAACTCACAGATTAGGACAGCGGTCTCTTGTCGATGCCCTTTTTGCCACTCCTTCTTGCCTCAACCATCCCCCTTCTTCCTAATGGAGCAGATGGAGCAATGAGTAGACGGGGCAGCGCAGGTCGACAATGTTAGCATTTGCGCTCGGCCCGGCAGAGCGAGGTGGATAGCCTTGTGGCGGTGCGGCCGACAAACTCATGACAGTTCGCACATCGGGGTAGCCAGTGCGGATCAAGGTGGTGCCTCCTCCTCTCCCCTCTCTCCACATTATGGCGGTAGCGAGGATGCCAAGCGGCACCGTGTTGACGAGGTCCTCCCAATTTAGATCAAGGCAGCAACCTCTCAAAGGTGGATCGGGCGAGATCTAGTTATTGAGGGCACTCCCTGCCGGAGGCACCTTTGGCTAGGCAAGATCAACGGCAAACCGGCGAAGCAGGGTGGCAGAGATGGGAGCTCCGCGATGGCAACATCTCTCTCATGTTTTCTGCTTCGCTGGACGTCTTTCTACTTTTCTCTAACAAGGCCACCAAATCCTAACAGGAGGACGAGGGACTCACTATGAACAACATCTGCTTACGTGGAAGGGAATCTCGAAAGTGGCGTATTTAGACCAAACGCCACCTCACTGCAAGGATTGAGATCCTCTAACTTGTGTCACTGACATATGGACCCTCTACCAGCGGATCCACATATTAGTGACCTGTAAGTAGAGGATCTGTACTATGAATGGCCTAATTATCATTGCATTGTGGATGACGCTTAGGACCTGCTCCCTTTTAGCATTAGCGGTAAACCAGTACCCCTTCATTTCATATTATAAGTTTATGGAAAAATATAGCAGTATTTTCAACACAAAACAAACATATTATCAAAATATATTTAATGTAAGATTTAATTAAACCAATTTAATATTTTATATGTTGTTAAATTTTTCTACAAATTTAATCAAATTTAACAAAGTTTGACTTAAAAAAGTCAAATAATTTATAATATTAGTACTAACTTTTAGGGGCAATTGCGCATTTGACCCTCTTTTGAAAGCTAACTACTAATTTGATCCTCTTTTTTCAACTTTGCTTATTTGACCCTTCTTTTTAAAATTGAAGATACGGTATGACCCTATTCTGTTAAAGGCTTCTAACGGTGTTAACTGAAGCACAAAAGGTCCATTTTACCCTTAGTCATTTGACCCTATTACATGTGGGACCCACCCGTCAGTTCTCTCTTCTCTCTTCTTCTTCTGACGTCGCCTCCTTTATTCCTCCGCGTTCCCTCCGGCGCCAGCTGCCGTCGCGCCGCCCCTCCCTCCCTTCTTCGCGCGCCAACCTCCGCCTCCCTCCCTGCTTCGCGCGCCAACCTCCACCTCCCTCCCCGCTGCACACATCGCCGCCGCCGCAACTCACTGGCAGGAGAGAGACATGGAGAGACATGTGGATAGGGTTAAAGATGGGTATGGTTTCCTCAAGGGTATTTTGGGCATTATGAATTTTAATTATATTTCTTTTTTTTTAAATCAAATCTTAGCGATGTAGTGAAACAGGTCAGACGGAAGGTTCGTTTTTGAAAATTGACAGTTAGACTTTTCCCTGACTTTTAGCATCAGTTCCTCGCGAGTCGCGAGTTCAGCGCATTTTTTGGGGGAAAAAAATGTACTCCAACAACACACCCCCTCCAATTCTCAATAGTCAATTTCATCACATTAATCCCCCCCCCCCCCCCCCTCTCGCTCTCGGCTTCTTCCTCTCCACATGGGTTGCTCTCACGTCACTATGCGAGCTCTCCTCTCCCGCATCCACCCGCCCGGCCCCGGATCGATCTCCACCACTTCCTTCCTCCAGTGCCCCTCCTCCACCGCCGCATCCGCCTCCAAAACCCTAGCCCCGACCCTCACCTTCCGCCGCTTCGCCGCCATGGCCGCCGCCGCCGCGGAGGAGTTCGTGAAGGGCCGCGTCACCCCCAACGGCGTCGCCGTCATCACCCTCGACCGCCCCAAGGCCCTCAACGCCATGAACCTCGGTGAGGGTCGCTCCTCTCTCTCTCTCTCTCTCTCTCTCTCTCTCTCTCTCTCTCTCTTCCTCCTCCTATTTGGGTTACTGGGAGTAGGGCGACCGGGCCGGGCGGCGGAGGTCTCCACGATTTGTGGCGTTCCCACTAGTTTGGAAGGTTGCGAATAATGAATTAAAATCAGTGTTGCTCGTGCGGTGAACATGTCTGTACAGTGTTAGTGGTTAACTGGATGCTGTGCGGCTTTTTAGTCCGGTTTGTGAGCTCAAAGTGGTGATGGGAAAGCAATCAAAATAATTTGCTGCTCAATGGCATGCAGCTAAGTGAAGTTTGGTACAGTTGGCACTCTAGTCAAAATGCATGTTAAATATTTCATCCAGTTGATTGTTTTAGTTTGAGGTTTTGAAAATTGACACTCAGTTACAGATTTCATGCGTTCCGTTAGTAGCATAGAGCCCTAGACCCACATTTGGAGCTGGGAATTTGCAAAGCTTACTGCACTTACATGGGTTTCATGTACTCCGTACAATTCTAGCGCTGTCATGTAGACACTAATAGATACACCATAAATTTATGGTATTGATAGTTATGTCCTCTTCACTTGCAGAAAAGTAGATTACATATTTATTTATTTTTAACAAGCATCCCTTGTTTTTTACTCAACAATTCCCTTCTTGATTTTGTATATAAGTGACACTAACCTTCTGAAGAAATGATGCACACCAACTGTGTATCGAGTACATTGGTAGCTTTCTGAGGTTCACTCACATATTTAAGGTCTCATATGATTGCAGAAATGGACCTTCGATACAAGGCATTTCTTGATGAATGGGAAACAAATCCAAGTGTCAAGTGTGTTCTTGTGGAAAGCAGTTCACCCCGTGCCTTCTCAGCTGGTGATCACCTCTCTGTTTTTATTCGTTGAAAAAGCTGGGCCTTGTACATTGAACATGCTGTTTTGCGCCTTTTTATTTCCGGAGCATTGGAGATGTTTGCAAATAAGATTCATGACCAATGCAGGGATGGATATTAAGGGTGTTGCAGCAGAAATTCAAAAGGACAAGAGCACACCACTTGTGCAAAAGGTTTTTACCTTTGTCATGTGTGTTTTTGATCTGATTTTACTTTTAAAGCTCATATTTCTTTTCTATTTGTTGTTCAACAGTTTATGTGACAGTATAACGGTGTTGTTAACAATCGTTGCTTTGCTCAGATAGTGATATTGTTTAGTGTAAACTGCAGGTGGGGATGTGAAGAGACTTGCTAATGATTGCACAATGCCAGAGATAATAGAGGTCTAGTAATAGCATGATTAATGCTTTCCTGGAGATAGTTTCCATCGCATGATGGAAAACCTTTTGTTGATTGCGGCTATTTTGCTCTGATTTTCTAAAAATTATAATGCCCTCTTTGTATCTGAAAAAGTGTATATAAGATATCGGAATTGATATTGCAATCATAATTTGAGAGGAGAGCTGAATAGGTTTTTTGTATATGAAGTTCATAACGAACTGAAAGTCATGCAATATTGAAATAGTTTTCTGAAAATTTTGATTTGCAGTTTAATATTGTAGTTGATACATCTAAACAATAATTGAGATTTAACACATAATTAAATTTAACTGATGATTCTGCAATATCCAAAAATACAAGTACATCCTCCTGCTCCTACTGAGACATGAGGATCTAAAAATTCTGGCATTGTTTTCACATATTATTGGTGGGTTTTGATTATGTTGTCAAAACATATTATTGGTGCGTTCATATTACACATAAAAATAAAAAGAAAGAAGGAACTGATCTGTGGGTTTAGTAACTGACATTTATTATTTATTCTTCTCAAGTTGTGCAATGCACATACAGTTGAAAGACTTCAGTTGTTTAATCCATCGTAGTCTGTTGTATCCTTTTCTTTTCTAACACCATCTGATCCGCCACCAACTCACTTTGAAGCACTATCATTTTCCAACACAGTTACAATCACTTCTATCTGCTGCAAACTACAAGCTGTGTTTGGTGTGCTCCTTGATGCATGCACTTGTTTGAAAATAACTGGTTATGACTTGTGACCAATAACCTGCTTTGGATTAACCATGCCTAATTCACATAATACATCTATCATGTATGTATACATGCACTTGTGCAAAACATATTTCGACTCATTTGAAAAAAAAATGGATTGTTATTTTTGTAAATTACTTAATGTTTCCCCCACACTATGCAGAACAACTTCTATATGATTCATAACCAGCTGATTTGTACATAAATAATCTAAAATATGACTCTGGTGGCATATTTAATTATTGATGCCAACTTTAGGTAATTAGTAGTCAGTCGTAGAGGGGTTTCTGAACCTTATTCCATGCTAGTTTCTTCTTCTTTTAATTAAAGTACCATGGGAACTGAAATTCAGCATGCTTAGCTGGTTTGCAAATGACTTGAGGTTAGGCTGCTGAGCACTGAGACACCATTTGCATCTTATTATTGCACAACAAATGGTGTTTACAGGGCTATAGGCATGATTAGTCCTAGTAGGCAGTAGCACACATTTTCTACTCCTCCCCCCCCCTCCCCCTTCCCCCTTCTCTCTGCTGCATGGGAAAATGGATGTAGTTGATATGTCCTCTGTCCAAAATGTTCTTAAAATTTACATCACTGAAAAGGTACTTTATTTGTTTTCAGGTCTTCACAGCAGAGTACTCTTTGATTTGTAAGATTCATGAGTATACAAAACCTTATATATGCCTGATGGATGGTGTGACAATGGGATTTGGAATTGGATTATCAGGGCATGGCCGCTACCGCATTATTACTGAGGCAAGTTTGAAATTTCTGTAACTCTGATTTAGATTTTATGTTCATCATTTGTATTCTCAGTATTTGAATTGTAAGGCTCAAAATGTTCGCATGCACTACTGTTACAGAGGACGCTCCTGGCTATGCCAGAAAATGGTATTGGCTTGTTCCCGGACGTTGGCTTTGCTTACATTGGTGCCAAAGCTCCAGGAGGTGGTGCTGTTGGTAAGATTCTTGACTATCTTGTTTCAGTAACCCTGTAGAACCATGTCTTCCGCTACTAATTTTGTTAATAATCTATCATCATAACTCATTTTGAGCTTGACAACATAGGAATTGTTCTGTAGTTCTGAGCTATGAGTTCTGGACATTGCATATTATTCAGTTCTTGTTCAATTTTGCAAGATATGTAACCTGGTTCTAAACTCTGTCTTTATTTGCTCTCCTAAATTATTTGCTGCTCCAAATGTGTAAAAGCCTTTTTCATTTCCTTCTATTCACTGCCATGGTTATTAAGGCGTCGCTATAGCATCGTGACGTTCCCAGAAGGGCAAGGCATCCTTCCGCCATAGGCTACCTCCGCCTTACAGGCATAAACTGAAGGAAAGAGGGTGAGAGCAGAGGGGAAAAGTCTGTTGTCTTGCTGCTGGTCCTCCCTAGCATCGCCCTCTCCCTTCTTGTGCTGATGGGGAGTACAGGGAGATCAAGAGAGGCACCACCTGCTGCTGCTGTGCCACATGAGAGAGAAAAGGTGGAGGAGAGGAGGCTGCTGGCTGCAATAGAGGAGAGAAAGGATAGGATGATGGTGTATGCTTGCTGCATCGTGCACAAGGAGAGAAGAAAGGTGGAGGAGAGGAGCCGTGCTGCACAATGGGGGAGAGAGATCTAGATGAAGGTGAGGTGGCGGCTGCTGGGAGGGAAGCTGTTGGGTAGGGTTAAAATGTTGTTTGCTAGGTCAAAAGAGCAAAGTATTTGGACTAGGCTAGGTAAGTGCTACTATTGGGCTGGGCTGTGATGAATGGAGTACCCCATTAGTATTTTTAGGGCCCATATTACTTAATACTTTCTTATTTTTCAATGCACTTAAGGCGTCGCCACGCCATACGTCTTATCGCTATGGCGGTAAGGCGGTGCTGGGTTGGCATACTTCGCCATACCGCCTTAATAACACGGTTCACTGCTCACTTCTGCTTCTTTCAGGATCTTACCTTGGGATGACAGGGAAAAGGATATCATCACCTGCTGATGCCCTTTTCTTTGGTCTTGGAACTCATTATGTACCTTCAGCGAACCTGGGACCTCTCAGGGAATCCCTCTTGAGTGCTAACTTGTATGTTCCGAACTGTTATTTGGTAAAAACTTACTAAATGCTAGCAAGATCATTATGTTCTTTTAATTACTACTAGCTGAATGCCCCTGCTTTGCTACTGAAAATAAATAAAAACATATTTTCCATGATATGTGTTACCCATCCTTTTTCTATAGGGAACATCCATCTTAATTTGATTTTATATGTGGCTATCCATTTAGATTCAAGGGGCAATTTGCAAAATTTACAATGGGAGTAGGTGGGATGTCAGATTCACTGCCTCCACCATTCCATTCTTTTAAAGAAGTATAAATTCCATAATTTTTCATTAATAGAATAATAGTGACACATTCAAAACTCGGTTATAATTCTGTTTGATAGTGTCTTGACATCTGATATCGTGTTTTTTATTTTTGCAGCACAGATGATCCTCACAGAGATGTTGAGTCATTGCTGACAAAGTTCAAGAACGAGCCAGAGTCAGGGCCCCAGCTAGATAAGTTTTTACCATATATCATTTCTTCCTTTGGTCCTGACAAATCAGTTGCTGAATCTGTGGAAGAGCTTAAGAAGTGTAGTCAAAGTGATGATGCTGCAGGTACTCTGCTTTTAAGCTAAGGCGTCAAGAGAATGTTGTTATATTTATGCACAAGTGCCAACAGTGTTTCTATATTGAGACCGTTTTATAAATTCAGTTTAGTACTGACTAGTTGCACGTGTATCCTTTTCATTGTTGTCTGCAGTGGCAGAATGGGCCAACGAGGCCTTGGCAGGACTCAAAAAAGGGGCTCCATTTTCTCTATGTTTAACTCAAAAACATTTTTCTCAAGTTGCATCAGCATATAGGAATAATGAACACTATCTATCGAAGGTATGACTGCTATCCTGTACAATTGAATACTTTTATTTGGTTAACTATTTTATTTTCAGGCTTCTCTTTTTCTTTTGCAAGGACATTGCTAATTCTGACATTTGGTTTGTTCAGTTGGCTGGTGTTATGAAAGTTGAATATCGAATTGCCTTGAGGTCATCGGTTCGAAATGATTTTGTTGAAGGTGTACGTGCTGTCTTAGTTGACAAGGACCAGGCAAGTTATCCATGTGACTTAGTATCTCTTTACTCTCCGATTACTTAAATTGTTTGGCGGACAATTTATAATCACCATAGCGTATAGTAAATGTTTTAGGATCACATTTCCATAATTCAAAGGACATCCATCTTCTGACATTTGCCTCTCCATAGTGATAATTAGACACCTCCTGTGTCTGTGGGTCCCAGGGCCACATGTCTAGCACATGGGTTGCAAATTACAAACTATGAATGTCACATTAAATAGTTGCTTTTGTGGCGTATCATCCGCCAGCTTATTCAACTTGTAATTAAACTTAAGAAGCTTAATTGTTTAAAATCAATTGTTTATTTGCCACTCCCTAATATTTAAGCCTTGAGCTACTTTTCGCGGAGCTATCCACTAATGGATCGAAACTTCTGTCAATGAAATTCTGAAGAACACTTCGTACTACAGAGTTTGAACATTTCTCTGAGTTGTTAATAAGAAGTAAACCAGTAGAGGTAGACCTTAGAATTCAACCATGTCTTGCGCACTGTGCGACTTCTGGGAAAGAGGGATACAGACATTATAGCATGTGTGGCACGGTGCAAAGTTCACTCTCCTTTGCCTTGCTAGACATAGGCACATAGCTGTTCTTTTTCCATATACCTAGTAATAATATAAAAAGGCACATAGTTACATGTGTGGTGTGTTTTGTTTAACTAATGGTGTTATGTCTCTAGAGTTAGGATTAATAGAACTAGATAAAACCCCACGCATTGCTGCGGAGTTTTGTATGATATTAGTCGAAATAACATGTAAGATGGCTACACTTTGTATAATTTTCATCTATGATCGACTATTAAAAAAGAAAGCTATAAACAATTAAAATGTTGTGGTTTATAACAATTTAAATCATATATGGATTGATCAATCAAAAGCAAAACTTACGTGATGTGGCTAGATGAGAGAAGGAAAAAAAAAAAGAAAGTAACATAGATTAATCATCAAAGACAAAACTAAGGTGGTATGACTTTATAAGAGAAGAAAAGGAGGGAAATTATTTGGACCACATATCAATTATCAAAGGGCTAGAAATAATCGAGGTGATGTGTCTTAATAAGAGAGGAGAGAAATAATATTTACTAAACTTGGTGGAGATGAACTCTATAGATATATATTTACTAAACGTATAGCTAAATTTCCTTTTCAATTTGTAGAATCCAAAGTGGAAGCCAGCAACTCTGGAAGACGTGGACAAGGGTGAGGTGGAATCAGTTTTTGAACCATTAGCTGCTGAGGCTGAGTTAAATGTATGATCTTCACAGCAAACATGTAATATTATTGGTACCGGAATACCCTCTTCAATTTCCCTGTTATGTTGCAATAAGAAATAACAAGGATAAAAATGATGATTATTGAGCCAATAAATAATATCATGATTACAGTATTTGTGACTTACTGAAGTACTAGCAATGTATTGTCATTTTTGTTAGGAGTAAGTCTATTTTGCCTTCCTCATCTCTTGCCGGTCAAATTGTATCCCTCACCAGCAAATTGTATCCCTCAACCACAAAGCTAGGTATAACGTATCTCTTTACTTTAAAAACCGATACAAATCGATTTCTTCGGTGGTTCGGAAGCTGACCTCCACGCGAACAGGAGTATTATTTGATGTCGAGCATCTTCTTGCACCGACGGTGGGAGAAGTGCAACTGGCGGTGGAGGCGACGTGGAGTAGAGAGGAAAGGGGAAATCTTCTGTTTTCCCTCTCACGTGCGTGACAGGGCGGTCAGGATGAAATTGTGAATGCAGTTGGGGGCACCGTATTCCAGCTTTTCCCTACTTTTAATATCTATTGTATACTAGCAAAAGTGCTCGTGCGTTGCAACGGAAAATGTACAGACCAAAAAATTGAGGAAAAGTTAAGAAAAATTTACATTATGTAATTAATTAAAATACAAATTTGCTGAAATATTTGGTATTTTTAAGTAGGTAGGTGTATAATTAAATCAATTTACAAGTAAAGTAAGTGAGAAATAAAATGACATGGTTAAATTTAATTTTATTAAATTCTCCATGATTAGTTACACTCTTTGAAATTTTATTGGAATTTTCAGAGCTTAATTGCTAATTTAAATAATACAAACATCATTTAACAATTATTTAATTGGAAAAAGGAATCAAAATCCTCCCTTTTAGGTTTGGGCCGAATATAGAAAAGTTTATATTCCTTCCCTTTTATCTATTCTAAGAGCACCCGCAATGGTAAAGTAAGGTGCTATCTATAAAACATGTACATCTCAGCAATAGACTAGATTAATAATAAACAATCTCAATAGTATGTCTACATGGGTATCTATAGCTCTCTAATAAATTGCCTCGTTTTTCTCTATAAACTATCTTCAGGTTAGTAGATAGCTTTGCTCTCTCTCTTCATTTAATCTCTTCCAAGTAGAAAAATATGCTTACATGGATCTTTTATAGAGAGTCTATAGATAACCATTGTGGGTGCCCTGAGGGTGTGTTTGAGAAAGAGGGGATTGAGGAGATTGGAAAGATACGTAAAACGAGGTGAGCCATTAGCACATGATTAATTGAGCATTAATTATTTTAAACTTCAAAAATGGATTAATATGATTTTTTAAAGCAACTTTCCTATAGAAATTTTTTACAAAAAACACACCGTTTAGTAGTTCGGGAAGCGTGCGCGCGGAAAACAAAACTATCTTTCTCTCTTTCTCCTGCGCTCGAACGCAGCCTAAGTTTCTGGCCTGTTTCCTTTCTTCGTTGATGTCCATTTTGTGTCCTCCATTCGGCGGCCCAATAGGCAGCCCGACGTGGGAGCAGCTTGAGCCGTCCAATCGAATGGACGGTCCAGATTAATCCTAACCTAAATAAATATACCCGAAACCTAACCCTAACCCTAGGATTCAAACCCCCCCCCCCCCCCCGCCCCCGATCTCCCCCAAACGGCGGCGGCGGCGGCGTCGCCCTTCCCCCGCGAGCGGCGGCAGCGGCTCCCCCACCACCGGCGGCGGCGACGGCGTCCTCCCTCACCACCGACGGCGGCGACGGCGTCCTCCCTCATCACAGGCGGTGGCGGCAGCGCCCTCCCCTACCACCGGCGGTCGATCTAGCGGGAGGGGAGGCGGCGGGCAGGGACGGCGCCCTCGCCTCCACCGATCCAGTGGGAGGGGAGGTGGCAGTGGCCCGACGTCCTGGATCCAATGGGAGGGGAGGGGAGGCGGTGGCGGCCCGGTGTCTCGGCGGCGGTGGCGCCCTCCCCTCCGCCGGATCCAGCGGGGGAGGAGGCGGCGGCGGCCCGGTGTGCCAGATACGGCGGGAGGGGAGGGGAGGCGGTGGCGACCCGGCGGCGGTGTCCTCCCCTTCGCCGGATCCAGCGGGAGGGAAGCTGGCGGCGGACCGATGTCCATGTGTCCCTGTGACGGCGGCGATGGCAGCATTCTCCCCTTTTCTTCTTGTGTTCTTGTGTTAATGTTGTTCTTGTTCTTGTGTTATTGTAGTAGTGTTTTCTCTATGATTTGGGTCCAATTTAGATTTTGATGTGGACTCGTATTTGTGTTCTGGGTTTTTTTTTGAGGGGGGGGGGGTGGACGGATGAAAAAGCGCACGGACGAGGTGACGATTGTTTTAATTAGTTAAGATATTAAATATAATTGCATATACGTAAGCATGAGCTAAAAGTTGTATAACAAATCCGATTCAATTAGCACGCGCAAAATTTGCTTTGTGCGGGGAAATCTCCTACTACTTGCGATCATCAATCATCACATCTCGGAATTAAGACCATCCTATTTATCACCATACAGGTGTAACATTTATATTGTGTTCTGACTAGTGGCAGCCTTATATATTTATTCGGTGTAATTACAAATAATAGTTTGTCCTATGCATCCAACTAAATAAGTATAAACAGCACCAACAACATGATGTCTATCATAATTAAACACTCACTAGAACTTATAATATGTTGAAAAAAAAGAGTATACTTGTTTTTTATGCATTCCTTTGTCAGTAAAAATAAAAGGTTCTTGAGTTGAAATTATTGATTCTGCATCTCTGTCCATGGTGCATGGCCACCCTGAGTATTAAATTGAGAAAATCACCTATGTATGCATGAAAGTTCACCTAATTCCTTCTATACCCTTGAATTTTGCTCAATCCCTTACATACTCCTGAATTTTAGTTTGGATCCCTTCCATGCCCTTTCCGCTAGTTGACCGTTAGTTGACCGTTAAATTCTTTTGAAAAAGTCCATTTTGCCCTTTGCTATGAAGAAACATAATAAATTAATGAAGTATATTGTTGGAATGTAAAAATTTATTGGATGATACTATTATATTTATGAGTATGTGATGCACCATATTATTTGTGACATTTACTTTTACATATGATATAAAAAGTTAATACTTATTTATTATTTATTAAAAGTTCTTTTATGTAGCATATGTGTTTTTATAGTAATACAACAGATTTATTTATTACTATCAAAACACATATGCTAAAAAATCTTTTAATAACTAATAAATAAATATTAATTTTTTATATCATATCTAAAAGTATATTTATCGCAAATAATATGGTGCATAACTATCTCATAAACATAGTAGTCTCATATAACAAATTTCTATGCTTCAACAATATACTCTATTAATTTATATGCTTCTTTATACCAAAGGGCAAAATGGACTTTTTCATAAGAATTTAATAGTCAACTAATGGTCAACTAGCGGAAAGGGCATGGAAGGGATCCAAACTAAAATTCAGGGGTATGTAAGGGATTGAGCAAAATTCAGGGATACAGAAGGGATTAGGTGAACTTTCAAACGTACACAGGAGATTTTCTCTATTAAATTAGATGCAGCAACTACAGGTAGCTGAACATATAAAGAACATACTTGAAAGAATCATGTTCAAAGATCATATAACAAGTAAGTCATCATTGAGTCTTCGATTTCATACTTGGAAAATCACATCTACCAGTGGTGTCTGTGAAAGAATCAAAAGGCTACCTCTGTTTCCGGTTATTCCAAGAACTTCAAAACTTGGGGTACCAAATGTATACATACTTTGGTTAGAGAAGATAGTTACGAGCACGACATTAGCACCCACAAAGAGTTGATCAATTAGCAGGACCATTAATCATGTATAAGTATGTTCCTTATTACTTTTCTAATTCCATGGCATCAACACATGAAGCCTGTGCAGAGACTCAAATATAGCAACATGGAAACTATTATCTTAACCTACACCCTTCACAGATCTCATAATTTGATGATTTCTTAATGTATGGTATGATACTTCTGCCAGATTTGCATGCTAATAAACTGCCAGAAGTAGTGATCAAGAAAAAACAGAGGAACATATTACATATAAGTAGTGCACATTCTAGTTAAATGTAATTATTCCCATGGAGAAGTTCTCATTTTGAATTTAACCTTTCAAACTTGATGGAGTCTTTGCTCGACAGAAAACATATGACAAATAGGTGATCAAGTTGGTCTGATCAATTCAGCATCCTGTGTCCATACATTGATCTGTAAATATTTGTTTTCTGACCATATTACTTTCATTAAGCTCAGCATGCATAGATTTGGTGTGTACTTCTCACATAACTCTATTTCTAGAAGCTTGGGAGCTCCCATATTAACTAGAAAAGTCACAAGTTCCCACGCTAATTGAAAAAAAAATGTTAAGCGCTCGTCTATGACATACTAGTGTTGTGCCAAACAAAACGTGAACTGGGCTAAGTCAAATAAGTGAGTATTTGTTACCAGTTCCAAGTAGTCTTCATCTTCGATGATTGCAATTGTTCCTTTTAGCTTGCGGCACTGCCTTTTGAGCTCTTCGCTTTGGCTTTCATAAACATGTAGTACTTCTAGTGAACTCGGAAAACAGCCCTTGGGCAGCGAATGAATGTTTGGACAGTATGCGATCTCTAATCTCTTGAGACTGGTGAGTCTATGTAACCCAGCAGGGAGAGACTGCAGCTTCGAGCATTGCACAAATATAAGGACCTCGAGGGAGGAGAGCAGCTGAAGGGCCATGTTTTGCTCCTTGGTGAAGCGCTCTACCTTGTGGTTCATGCTTAAGCTTAACTTGGTGAGTGATGAAGAGAGAAGCCTGCAAGTAGGCTCAACAAATACCCCTACGATGTCATCCATGTAGAGCTGTTGCAGCCCCGATGGCTTGGACCCAACAAAGAATTCGGGAGTTTTATGGACAGCCAGCACTCTAAGGTGGCCTTGGGTGAGGAGGGAACACATGCTCCCGCTTCTTAAATCCCCAAAGTCCCATATGGACAATCTAGTGAGAGAGCTGAGGTTTTGTACCAGAGTTTCCATGCCTCTCACACAATCAATAATAGCCAGATCTTGAAGGGAGGATGGAAATGGGAAACAAGACAAGGAGGGTGAGTAGGAGGAGAGAAAATTGGGACAATGCTTTATACACAATGATTGGAGGGAGCGCAGGTATTGTAATCCTCCTCCTACACCTCTTATTAGGTTGCGTGTTGTGTCGCCTACAAATGAATCGAGCTGCAGGATCAGCTTTGAGCAGTGTCTGATGTCCAAGTTCTGTAGTTGGTGAGGCAAGAGCAGTAGTCCTGTAACCACCGATGCTATTCCATTGTCTCCTCTTGGTTGTTGCTGATCATTCCCAATCTGTGCATCCTCAGACTTATTATAAGAAAGTGATGGTGGAGATGCTAGCGTTGCCATCATCTCTTGCCCTGCCACACCAAGCCCTGTTATCTTTTGACATTTTTCTATTCTCAAGTTCATGAGCTTGGGGAAATAAGATAGCAGTTGTGTCATTTCTATCCCACTAGCACTGCACTCATAGATCTCGAGTTGCTCAACTAGAAAATGATATGTGACTGTGCTTTCACAATCAGTCGGCAACAAGGCAATACCTGAATCAGTAATGGAGAGCCTCCTCAAAGCTGATAGCAACTTAAGATGTTTGAGAGGCAAAGGAGGGCATTTCTTCATCTTCAACTCTCTTAGTTCTGTAAGATTACTTAAAGCCAATAACTTCCAGAATGTACTATCCAGAGGGCCATCCTTTCCCTCAATTTGTAACCCTTGTTCAGATTGGTTGTTTCTCTGATAATCCAAGAGATGAAAATGCGATCCAACTTCTTTAATCAGAACATGGCATGGAGAGCTTGTCCAAGGAAGGGGAGACAATGGTAATAGCTTTGGGCATTTTGCAATCTCAAGGTTCTGTAGTCTGGAGAATTGAGACAAGTTCATCTCCTGTCTTGACCAAGGACAAGTGGAATGTGAAAATGGCAACTCTATGAGTTCTGGGCACTCTCTTACAATAAACTCCTCCAACAGGGAGAGCACACAACAAGCATCATTTCCGGCCCATTTTGCTAGTCTTGGTATAGCAACTAGCTCTAACCTTTTTAAATACTGGAAGCTGCGGCCACTTGCACAAGCCAGGAATTTTTCACCATGCTTGTTAACTAACCACAACCCCCCTAGAGGTGGAAACTTGTCCCAACATACACCGTTTATACAAAGTGATTGCAAACCTTTGATAGATAAGTTAGGACCCAACCATGAAGGGCAAGTGGTACCCCCATGCCCTTGAATATGTAGCTCCCGAAGATTGCTATGTGGTCTAAGATTTTCAAGAATATGTTCTTCTTGTGAATAATCCTTTGTAGAATGGTTAACATTCCAATCTAATATTAACTTGTGTAAGTGACTTTTGTTTAAAAGTTTTGCCTCCTCTGCCGCCTTTGCATTTTCAAGATCATAAATTCCCAACGATCCTTTTAGCTCATCCAGCTGCCCTATTTGGCTTAGTGCAAATGCCTTAACTTGTCTTTTGACCTCAAATCTCCTTAATTCTTGTAAACACTTTATCTTACCCACATTAGCAATGTCAGAGTAGAGTTTATCATCTTGGACAACAAAATGCCGCAGTTTTACAAGGTTATTCATATCTCTTGGTAAACCAAAATGACCCTTGCATTGTCGTACATCAAGGATTCTCAAGTGGTAAAATCTTGATATGATGTTGGGTAGACTTAATTCTGAAAATTTTCCTCAAGTGTTAAAATCTTGATATGATGTTGGGTAGACTTAATTCTGAAAATTTTCCTCCATTGATCCTTAAGTAGCGTAGATGGACAAGTTTTGAAAAGTTATGCAACATACTGACTATAGCATAAGATGGCATAGACAACAAGACTATGCGGAGTGCACGTGCTTTTCTTAACAAATCACTGAAAGGGGTGATAAAGCTTCCATGGTATTGTCCAAATAGCATCAATGAGTGCAGTTTTCCAACATCTAGTCTCTTACTTAATGTGATGAAATCCTTCTTGATGTTTTCAAAAGTCACTCTATCATTTACGTCCATGTCATCAACCACAATAGATAAGTGTCTTATAGATGGTAGAATTTGTATAGATTTGACATTTGAACTACATATGGTAAGACATTCATACGATGAAACCTTCAATGCTAACTCATGTAGTAGGTCATGCATAACGTAGTATGAAGACCCATCTTCTACATGTTTTTCAAAAAATCCATAGCTAACCAAATCATTCAATCGGCTCAATCCAATGTCTTCAATTTTCTTGTTTTGATCCTGTGAATGTAGGATGTCTAGTCCTATCCATAAGTGAATTATCTCATCACTAGCAAATTTATGGTCTTCAGGGAACATAGCACAATATGTAAAACATTGTTGCAGATGAAAAGGGAGATAATCGTAGCTAAGCTTTAATGCTGGCATAATATCATTCTCACCGGTTTGTAATTCCCATTCTTTACTTTCCAGGACACTTGTCCAATGTTCCAAATCAAGGTGATTTTTCAGTAACCTCCCAACTGTTTTCGCTGCCAAAGGGGAACCCTTCAGATTTTTTTGATATCATTTTTCCAGTCTCAAGTAAATTAGCATGATCATTTGCTGATTTCTCATCACCAAACACAGATGCTTTGAATAATTCCCAAAACTCTTGAGGATCAAGCCCTTTTAGTTGTATTGGACTATCAATTGTTTTAACCATTTCTACCACTGCTAGAAAATGAGTGGTGACTAGAATTATGTTTCCCTTGGTTTGTCCTTTTTTGAGAGATGCTAATAGATATTTCCATTCATCCTCGTGGCCACAATTCCACATATCATCCAAGACAAGTAAAAACTTTGATCCCAAGCTTTGCACAATCAAATCATGCGGACCACTGTTTTTCTCATCTTTGAGTTGAGGGATCGACTTGGCAATGTCTTCTTTCAATCTATACACATTGAAATTGGGAGTTACACAAACCCAGACGGTAACATCAAAGTAGTTATGTACTTCTTTGTATATATACTGTGCGAGAGTTGTCTTCCCTATCCCCCCTGGACCAACAATTGGAATGATGGTCAGGTCCTTGTCACAGTAATCACCATGAGTAATGTTTTTAATAGTTGTATTTTTTTTCATCCATTCTCCCATAAACTGTAGGATCTGTAAACTCTGAAGTGGTCATAGGCCGACTGATAGCAAAACCGCTTGGAAGAACAGGTGCATGCCCTGGTTTCTTGGAAAACTCGGCATTGAGACTCATGGCAATGTACTGGCCAATGCTGCGATTTGATTCCAACAACTCTAGATTGAGTATGGTAGAGACTTTGGCACACAATGGCTTCAGCTGTTCGACAATGCGCTTCATTCTTTGGGACAGATCCACCCTATCGAACTTCAGCTTTGGTGTTTTCATCGTATCCTCCCTCTGCAATACCCTGCCGCAGGAACAGGTGCAGCGGAGGAACTGGCTTCCTGCATGTGCACATGACGCTAGAGTTAGAAAACTTGTACAGTACAATATCCTAGCAGTATATAGAAGGGCATGTTAGGAATTTGGTAGAAAATTAGAGATGGATTTTACAGCAATTTATAGTTTATATTTAATCCAATTGGGAGGAGTATTTAGTACTGGATCTCATCGTGCACTAGGGAAGAACGTTGCTAGAGCGATTTGACGAGCAGCGAGGTGGCTGAGCCCGGCCAAGAGGTTGGCGTTCGCGGCGGTCTGGCAGGCTCGCCGTGCGCTCGTCCTTTTGGCCGAGCCTCACGGCTCATTGCTAGACACGGCGACGAGCTGATGTATATATGGTCAAGAGCAAGGGCTGTTTAGCAGGGTGTGTTCTTTATTTCTTCACTATTTTTTTTTCACGAACGCGCAAAAAGATTGCACGTCAATATATTAGAAGGAAAAGAGTTCTTATTACACAATGCAATCAGCTATATAGGCTTATGCCAAGGGGGGAAGAGAGAAAAAAACAAAACAAAAACTGCAGCTAGGTTTACTATGGCGGCTAAACGCAACTCCGATCAGCGGGAAAGGATAGAGCCACACTACTTATTTCTTCACTATAATCTGGTTGTTTACCCAGAGAGACATATTTGCCTTTTTTTTCAAAAAAAAATGTTTTAAAAAGTTTTACTCATTAAATAGGGAAAAGGAATCAATCTACACCGTTAGGTCGTCATACTGGAAGTATAAATTAGAATTGAATTGTACTCTAGAGTTATCACCACCGTACCGTCATGTTAAGGTGCAAAAGAGAGGCATGGAAAGTGTTTACCGATGTGATGGGTGTTGCCGCGAGCACTGGGAGAGAGCTTGTGCATGCAGCAGTTGCTGGCAACAGCCTCCTCGTCGGCGGCGGCGTGGAGAGTGCGCGACGGCGACGAGCCGATCTGACGGTTCATCACTTGACCACCACCAGCACACGAGGAGCCGATCTGACGGTTCTTGTCTTCTCCCGACCGCCGACCGTCAGCGTCAGGGTGATCATCACCAGCGCACGGGAGGAGCACTAGGTTGCTCGCGACGCTGAGGGCTGTATGGCGAGTGTTGAGGAAGAGGTTGTGGACGACGCAGCCCTTGGCGTGCTCGTCGGCGGCCTCGCAGGTGCCGTCGAGCTCGTCCTGGATGCGGAAGTAGTCGAGCTCGTCGAGCACGTCCTCGGCGTCGACGCGTCGTGGGCGAGGCCACGCAGCTCCAGGAGCAGCTGCCTCAGCGCGGGGCTGCGGGCCTCCCTGCCGCCGGTGCCACGGGCGTTGTCGAGCATCCCCTGCGCGTACAGCAGCTCCATCTTGACGGCGCCGACGTTGGGGCCGAGCTCCTTGCTGGCCACCCACGCCTCCACGAACCCTCCGGACAGCGGGCTCAGCGCCTTGCTGACCACCCGCCGCGCCGCGTTCACGGCCACCGACTCCATCGCTCGATCTCCCCCCCGGCGCCGGCGATTGAGCGGCCGGAGAGCGCAGAATGTCACTGCTTCGATCGTCCACGATCCCCGGCTGCCACCAATCTCCAAGAATGTGCAGGAACGAAAGAGACGACAATGCGCAGAGAATAGTAGTGGCAAAGCACAAGCTTAAGCTTTCGTTTTGATTCCATTCTGCTCTGCACCTTTACTCTGATGAAAGACAAGCCCCCCTGGCACTGCACGGGATGCCGGCATCGGCATCTGTTCGCTTCGTTCGAGATGGTCCATGTCTGGGCACCCGATGCCACAGCAAGCCAACAAGCAAGCGCCTGTTCGATGCCAGCTCCTTCCCTTTGTGCTGCGTAACCAAGAATTTTTTGTTCATCTTCAGGCTTCAGCTGCTTCTGAGGAAGATAGACAAAGCTGGTTTGCACAGTACAAATTTTGCCTGCCTTGAGAGCAGCAATGGAGCCTCCTTCCCGGTTCGAGACCAACAAAGTTGTTTCACAGTAGATGAGGCGTTTGTGCAAAAGTACTGCAGCTAAGCTTCTGTTACTCCAAGCATTATCCATAAGTTGGCTAAGATAATGGCTCCTACCTAAGCTAAACTTCAGAAAATGACACAAGTTATTGTGAAAAGCATTGCGACGCCGAAATTGTGACGGAGTGGCTATGTGTGTCTGGAATTTGAAAAAAGAATCAGTAGAATGCTCTTGAATGTATAGCCAAATTTCTTTTTCTACTAGAAATTGGGCTAGTTGAAAAAGATTAAATTTTCTGATTCTGGCAGACAAAGCCAGCAATAGAGATATAGATAGATCTGTAGAAACCAAAGTGGAAGCCAGCAACACTGGAAGGCGTGGACATGGGTAAGGTGGCATCAGTTCTTGAGCCATTAGCTGCTGAGGTTGAGTTAAATGTATGATTTTCACAGCAAACTTGTAGTACCTGGGATGCCTAAACATGCCGAAACTTACCATCTCACGGAATGTTTGGGCTTTATATCCGACTCATTTTCTCGGCGCGGGTTTGTTCAGCCCATGAGCCTCCTACGACGCGTAAGCCCATTGGTAGCGATCCAATCTTGGCTGTTTACGATGGACTCCAAAGCTTAACCGGACCATTTGCCCATCATGCGGCCGAATGGCGCTCAACGGCTCAACCCACCAGCGGCGCCGCGGGACGCTGGTTCTACCACTTCGGCTGCGGGCCGTGATCGAATGGTCGTGTGTAGCAAAATTCCTGTTGGGCTATCGATCGCCCTGGGCGTAGGGGTGGGCATTCGGTCAGACCAAAAATTCGGTTTAGGTCTTTGGTCTTTTTTGAAAGTTTGGTCATCTATAGTGCAAGACCGTTCGGTCTTGAAAAATATTGAAGACCGATCAATTCGGTCTCAGTCTCGGTTAGACCGAAATTTTAGAAATATTCAGAAGAATCGCACAAATCCTCAATAAATTTCAGATCCAAAAAAATCATACACATCAAGAAAATTCATAAAAATCCTAGATCAGCTTTCTTCACTATCATATACTCATCTAGATCGGCTTTGGCACCGCTCGTCGCCGTCGGAGTGGAGGAGGCACCATCGGATGTGCCCCCGGGGTGGAGCCTCCACGCGGCTCGGGCTTGGCTGTTGGGGCCTGGGTGTCCACTGAAGCCACGCAAGAAGAGGAGGTCGTCGTGGTGTCACTTGTGAGGAGGAGGAGGAGGAGGAGGAGATGCTGGGACGCTGCAGTCGTGCAGAGGCACCGGCGACGGAACAGGACGCCGATGTGCGAGAGAAAACGAGGAGCGCTCAGGTGGGGAGAGCGTTAAAAAGAAGAGGAGCGCTCGGGTGTGGCGGCTGGGTGGATGAGGAGAAGGAAACAGAGAGGGAGCTAGGGTTTTATTAATGTTGGACTTGCTTTCTTGGGCTGATATTGGGCTTTCTGTGAAATTCGGTCAATTCGGTTAATCGAGGGTGATGACCGAATTAACCGAATAAAATTCGGTCATCTAGCACATAAGACCGAAGTACTGACCGAATTTCTCGGTCTCCGTTTTTTCGGTTTGGTCTTTTTCTGCCCACCCTTACCTGGGCGATCACCCCTCCCCATATGGCTGGCTTTCTTTTTTGACACCGCATTACTTTCCTATTTTAGTAAATTTATACACCTAAAGTTTGTACACCTTAAGTTTACACATCTAAAGTTTATACACCTAATGATTAGAGATTCAAAGTTTATAAGTCAAAAGTTTATATACCCAATTCAAATTTGAATTTGAATTCAAATACTTTTTATATATAGTATTTCTATACATCTAAAGTTTATACACCTCAAGTTTATAGACCCAAATTTTATAAGTCAAAAGTTTATATACCCGATTCAAATTTGAATTTGAATTCAAATATTAATTTGAATTTGAATTCACATTTTTTTATATATAGTTTTTCTATACACCTAAAATTTATAGACCCAAAGTTTACATACCCGATTCAAATTTGAATTTGAATCTGAATTCAAATATTAGTTTATAGACCCAAAGTTTATAAGTCAAAAGTTTACATACCCGTTTCAAATTTGAATTTAAATTCAAATATTTTTTATTTATAGTATTTCTATACATAATTTTTTCCAACTTTATATTTTTTATTTTTTTAAAAAAATTATGGTGTAGTAGGAAGAGAAGAAGGGGAGGAGGAAGGGGGAGAGGAGCGTATAGGGGATGGGGATCGATCGCCCATTAGCGTCGCCCCGTGTGTAGAGCGCTTGGATGAAGGAGACAACGACCATTAATCGAGACACCTTCTTTTCTCGATTCCATCAATTTACACCTTCGTAGCGACTTAAAAGCCAATACTTAAAAAAATTAAGTTGAAAATATCTTAAATTTAAGTTTATTTTTCTCCTTCCAAATGTTCCAGGTGGTAGTAGAAAGAGCTTCATAAAACAAGAGTGAGGAAAGGAAATCCTCTGAGTTTGATGCACCTCTTTACTTTGGATTGGCATAGGGTCAGAGTTTGCAATATCACGCGAATACGAGCCTCATTACTTACCCATATTTTCTAATAAGGCAAAATAGTTTATTAGAAAATAAAAGTTAATTTCTAGGTTAAACTTTTATATATTTGTTCGTAACGACTTAAAAACCAATGTTTAAAAGAATTAAGTTGAAAATGTATTAAATTTAATTTTAAAAATTTAAATTTTGGCTTTTGTTTTGATTTATTAGGCCAAACGATGAAGTTCTACCTCGCTTATGGCAATCATGTTTACCGGGTACGATATTCTTATTAGTTTTTGAAACTATACGGTTTTTGGGAAATCTGAATTTGGTGCCGTCCGATGTAGAAGCCATTAACATACTCTGCTTCACGGTTTTTTTTCTTACTCCCCGTGTGTTTAGTTCACGCTAAAATTGGAGGTTTAGGTAAAATTGAAACGATGTGACGGAAAAGTTGAAAGTTTGTATGTGTAGGAAAGTTTTGATGTGGTGAAAAAATTGAAAGCTTAAAGGAAAAGTTTAAAACTAAACAGGCTCTGTTTGACTTTGACATACTCTGCACTTCTGCAGTCCGCTTGTTTGGCTTGAGACCAACGGATTCGCAGTTGTCACTCACCGAACTCATTCTTTATTTTGAGCTGTAGCGATTTTATGAACAACGTGGCAAACCTTAGGACGCTCTCTTGTTTTAGCTTTGACAGCAGCTAGCTTCTGTTCTTCCAAGCCTATCCATATGTTGGCTAAAGAATACGCTTCCAACATAAGCTAATCCTCCGAAAACGACGCAGGTTTGCGGTGGCTTTCAACGGAAAGGGGCGGCACGCTGCTAGGAACGGATCGAAAAACGGGAAAACGAAGGGGAGAAAAACAGCGGGAGTCGTAACGAAACCGGCAGGCGCACTGCCGAGCGGATCGACCCCGACGCGCCGCATCACCACGCGCTCCGCCACCCGACCGCCCGACGGCGACGCCTCGTCGCGCCTCCAGATTTTTCTTTTTCTCGCCTCTCTTCCCCCGCGCGCCAACACGGGCGCGTGGTGGTGAGAGCGTGAGGCGAGACGAGATAAGGCAGCGCGAGGTCGGGGGGATTAGCGGATAGGATTACCACTTCTCAATACCACCCGCGAACGAGCGGGGCCGTCCACTACATTCTGAGGTTCAGCCGCCTCTGGTTCCTACATAACCTCAAACTTTCATTCCCTCTTCACCAGTTCCCCTTAAACCAATCACACGGTTGGATGGTCATGGAGATGACGACCATTGAATCGACCAAGCGAGCCCGTCTTTTACGACATCTTCGTTTTTTGATTCCATCGCTGTTTTGGGTCTTTTAAATTTTTTAGCATACCCACGTCCCATAATGTTTGATATTGGTTAATGCACTAATCAACACCACCGGGTTAGCCATACTCTGTTTGCCAGTTCGTATTGCTTGCTCTGTTTAACATACTCTGCAGTCAGCTTGTCTTACTTGAGACCAACGGACTCCAGATAATATCACTCAGTGAACTCGTTCTTTATTTCGAACTAGCTGGTTCAATGATTCTAGAAACAACTTGGCAACCCAAGCTCGTCTCCCATTTCGGTTTGACGGCAGCAAGGCTTCTGTTCTTCCAAGCGTTATCCATAATTCCATATGTTGGCTAAGAATACGCTTCTTACTTAAGCTAGACTTCGGAAAAAGACGCGAGTTATTAGAAAAGATTGCTGTGGCTTAATGGCGTGGCAAGAGACAGAAATCGCAGGCTCCCAGCACACTCCCGTCATAAAAAAAAACGAAGAGAAAAAACAGCGGGAGAGCCGTATCGAAACCGTCAGGCCGTATGGTGGATCCGGAATTCCGGATACATAAGCGCTGTGCCGCCGCCGTTCGATTCGATCGATCCGACGCGCGCGCCGCATCACCACGCGCGATTGCGTGGCAAGCTAGCTAGCGACCGCTCCGCCACCGTTCGTCAATCGTCACAGCCTCCCCCGCCCACGACGGCGACGCCTCGTCGCGCGCCTCCAGATTTTTCTTTTTTACCCTTCCCCACCGCTCGCGCGCGCGAGAGCCAGCCAGAATCAATCGCGAGGGTGAGGCCGGCTGCGCGAGACGCGGGGGGCCCCTGGGCCCTGGCGTGGCGAGACGAGACGAGATAAGGCAGCGCGAGCGAGGTGGGATTAGCGGATAGGGCTTACCACTTCCCGACACCACCCGCGAACGCGCGCGCGGTGATTCCGTTCCACTTGCGTTACTACCGGGCCCTGCGAGGGCAACTAGGCAGGCATGCAGGCAGGCGGCTGTCCGGATCACCGGAGAAACCCACCCGTTGTTTTTCTCCTCCCGTTTATTTTCTTTCGCTCTCTAATAGTCTAATCTCGCGTACGTCGCTGTCGCTAAAAATCCCGGGGGCGGCGCGACGTTGCGCGTGGTGTAGCGGAACTGCGTGCACAGCACAGGCACAGCAAACAATTCTCGGTGTGGTCATGATGCCTAGTACTACTATAGTAATCCTTCCCGGTCCCGGCGTTTAGCAATGAACTTGACACGACGCCGCTAGTTCGGCAGCAAGCACGTTCACGCGCCGTCCGGCTCGCTGGACTTGACGTGTGGCGCCGGCCGGCGGCCGCGCGGCTGCTCGATCGCGGGATCGATCCGTTCGTTCATGGAGGCAGGCCGAACCCGGTCTGACCTTAGCTTGGCCGCGGCGGCTTCTGCTCCTGACGCCGTGACGCGTGCACACTCTTCGGCAATAATGAGCCTCCGAGTCTCCGACGTGTGGCCAGGAGGAGAGAAAACCGTAGCGTTCAGAGACGGCACCCGGCTCGCCGCAAAGCGTATACAGCTTCACGGGACGCGGCACATCAACCTGTTCAGTGGCGCGACTCCACGGGCGGCACGCGCGCGATACCTGCGCTGAGCCCTACACGTGTGCGACTGCGTGGAGAGGAGACAGTGCTAACCGAAATAAAAACCGTGCTACTAGTAGTAGCAGTAGTGAAATTGAAATATGGAAACATGATTGCACAGAGCGTGTTTACTACTCTTATTGCTACTAGTACGTGTGTTTGTAGAAGACCGGCGGAAAGTGTGAGGAGGGTGACAAGGGGAATCCGGAATCCCCAAATCCAAGCGCACGGATTTTTGGAGGTCATGTGGGCCCAATTTGTTGGCACAGGTGTCCGTAGAACTATAACAGCTCGGTCTTTTGTTGCATTTGCGTGTACAGTACTACTAGTAAAATTGTAATGGTCGTGTCATGTCGTTCTTGTTTTACTTCCTGTGAAGTTGGCAACACCCGACGAAGGATTTTTGCTGTTTTCCTGGTGCAGATTGCAGAACGAAGCAACAGTTTCCATGTCGTATAGTGGAGTACTAAGCAGTTCGTTAGCCAAACGAAGTTGAACTAAGCATGACGACGGTTGAGATAAACCTCCACACAAACAGGCAATTCCCACAAACAGCCTCATCCCTTTACCTCGGCCAACATAAAAAGGATACTGCATCCGATGTGGCATTCTTACCCGAAACAGAGTCTCCCAAAATAAAACAAACCATATCATCTACTGGTAGATTAGTCTCAAAAGAGCTAATCTACTCAATTTTACACGTCACAGAGTCAAAAAAAAAACTAGAAAAAGCCAAACTGAAAGAAACATAAACCATAGCCGTGCAAGCAACGGGGCCCACATAAACCCCCCAAAAAAATCACGCAATCCATCCATCCCTCCATCCGCAGTCCGTTCCCTTCTTTCCCCTTGTATAAGTAGCGGATGCCACTCCCGCCACTCTGCCTTACACAAAACACATCAAACACACCAAGCTCAGACAAGAGAAGAGAAGAGAAGCCAAGAAATCATCATCATCTCACGCATTTCTTGCTCGAATTCCAGCTCGATTGAGCATCATGGGTTACAACGAGCTGATTCCGGGGTTGCCGGAGGAGGTGGCGAGGGAGTGCCTCATCCGGGTGGGGTTCGACCAGCTGCCGGCGGTGCGCCGCATCTCGCGCCAGTGGAAGGCGGAGGTGGAGTCGCCGGCGTACAACCGCCTGAGGAAGGCGGAGGGCCTGGCGCGCCCGGCGCTCGCGCTGGTGCAGGCGCGGCGTGAGCTCGCCGAGGCGGGCCCGGCGGCGGACAAGCAGTCGTCGGCCGGCGGTGTGCCGGGGAACTCGTACCGGATGGTGCTGTTGGACCCGGCGGAGGGGAGGTGGACGCCGCTGCCGGAGGTGGGTGGAGCGAGTGGGAGCTTGCCGCTGTTCTGCCAGGTGGCGGCGGTGGATGGCGGTGTGGAGGGGAGGAAGCGGCTGGTGGTCGTCGGCGGCTGGGACCCGGAGACGTGGGCGCCGACGGACTCGGTGCTCGTGTATGACTTCCTCACGGGCGCGTGGCGCCGTGGCGCGGCCATGCCGGGCCCGCGCCGGTCGTTCTTCGCGTGCGCCGCCGTCGGCGGGAAGGTGTTCGTCGCCGGTGGCCACGACGAGGAGAAGAACGCCCTTCGATCGGCGCTGGCGTACGACCCGGACGCCGACGCGTGGGCCGCGCTCCCCGACATGGCGGAGGAGCGCGACGAGCCGCGCGGGCTCTGCGTCGACGGCAAGTTCCTGGTCGTCGGCGGGTACCCGACGCCGGCGCAGGGGCGATTCGTCGGCTCCGCCGAGTGGTTCGACCCGGCGACGTCCACCTGGTCCGCCGTCCAAGAAGGCTTCGTCGACGACGGCGCGTGCCCGAGAACCTGCAGCGCCGCCCCCGAGGCCGGAGACCGCATGTACATGCTCCGCGACGGGCACCTCGTGGCGCGCCACGGCGCCATCTCCTCCGCCCCCGCGGCGTGGCGGCCCGTGGCGCCGGTGCCGGAGGACGCGCGCACCGCGGCGGCCGTTTCCGTCATCCCCGACGGCCGCGTCGTGGTCATCGGGTCCGACTGCCACGGCGGCGACCAGACGGTGTACACGCTGCGGGAGGAGGCCGGCAAGCCCGCGTCGTGGGCGCGCGCGCCGGCGCCGCCCGAGTTCTCCGGGCACGTCCAGGCCGCCTGCCTTCTAGAAATCTGAAGCGTATTACAGAAACTAAATTCCGTGTATAATTGTGTATCCATCTATGTACATATCACATATGTGTGAGTAGCAGAGTTCGAGTTTGTACAGCAACTTTTGCGAGGAAAAAAAATGGTTAAACGAGTGTATCAATTTTGAAATTTTTGATCAAATGACAGTGTGTGTTTGTAACAAACACACGCCTTTTCGCAGCTTGTGTTTGTTTGTTTCAGTACAGTTGGAATGTTCGTGGCTTCTAGAAACCGTTTCGTTGCAAAAGGCAAGCTGCTTACCTCGAGCGGAGACGCTCTGCTTCGAGATCGCAGTGTTTGGAAGCTTCTGGAATGGCTCAAGCACAGCGAATCTGACAATACGACGAGGAAGTAATGAATCCCCTTTGTCGTATCCGAACACATCCTGTGTCGTCTTCTCGCCGCATTTACTGCTGCTCCTTTCTTTCCCATTCATTTTTTTTCCAGGGCCAAATTCGCACTGAATTCATGCCCACAAGTACAGTACTCCCTACTCCTGAAACACAGGAAAAATCCCGTTGTGCATAGGCCATGTTTAGTTCTAAATTTTTTTTTTCAAACTTCTAACTTTTTATCACATCAAACCTTTTCATACACACAAATTTTCTATCACATCGTACTAATTTCAACCAAATTTCCAAACTTCAGTGTGAACTAAACACAACCATAGTTGAAATCTAGCTAAATAAAAGCAATTTTACGATTCTTAAGAAGATGCCATGAGATACCATTACCTATTTACTATGAGACTCTAAATATACAGTAGAAAAAGTACGCAGAAACCCGGGTGTGTGGTTTCCTGTCTAGTGGAGGTGAACATTTTTGACTCAAATCTGCAATTAACCCGGTGAAAGAGTCGGATCCAATCCACTGCACCCGACACCTGAGCAGCGCGGCAAAACCGCGCGCGAGCCACCATAAACCGCGACAAGTGGGAAGAATGCGATAGGGACACCATCGGTGAAGTATCCCTTCCAAGCCGCCAGCGCTTGCTTTGCTAGCTTGCTTATTATCCGGTTTTTTGGAACGGCGGCTGCTGCTCGACGGATTGGTCGGCGAGACCACCGCAGCGCAGCCAAATCCACATCCACTCGCCCGCCGCGTACGTGATGACGACGCCGCTGGTCGCGGTCGGGTGGATGGATATGCGCCGGGAAACAGCCGGCCGATCTCCTTCTCCGTGTGTGCTCAATTAATTCCGCGCGTTGTTTGGATCAGATCGACGTCAGTGTTTTTTTTTTTTTTTGGTCTGATTGGCCTGTTGAGAATAGCCAGAGGGGTGAGAGTGAGGCAGTGCTTTGACTGAGCACTGGAGCAGTGTGGTCGGCAAGCGTGGAGGTCAATGAGACGTGATAACTTGGAATTTGCGCTGTACTACGACGGATTAACTCTACTCCCTTCTTTTAAAAAAAAATCGAACTAAAAGATGACCCCACCTGGTAAAATAGACAATCTTTTTTATCGAGATTTGCTATATAGAAGGGGTTATATTTTCTATTAAGTTTTTTTATATAAAAAAAGTATTTACTCTGTCCTTATAAAAAATTAAATATAATATATGATATTTAGTACTACAAATGTGTACAATCTTTTATACAATCAACTGCACCAACCGGCATGTAACCTACCTGCACAATTGCACAAGGCCTACCCGTCTGGGTGACCGGCACACCGAGGACCGCCGATGGCATGCGTGCGCACAGGGAGCAGGGAACAATAAACTTCGATATGTAAGGGCTTGTTTGGTTTGAAGTCAATTTTTGCCCTACCAAAATCTTGGTAGCGCCAAAATATTGGTAAGTTTTAGCACTACCAAATTGGGTAGTGTTGAATTTAAACTATTGTGGACAAAATTTGGTAACAAACCAAATATGCACTTGCTATTATTAAAGTTACTAAAATTTTGGTAGGGCAATAAGTTGATATTAAACAAAACACGAGATAGGGGTGTTATTGGCTGATGATTAGGATTGGCCAAATTATGTCTAGATTTTTTTTAAAGGACGAAGTTAGTACAGTATTGTTTATATGCCCGGTTATGTTTAGCCGTTTACGGCGAGCAAAGAATCAGAAACCGTAATGGATAAAATGAATACTCCCTCTGTACGTATATATAAGGGATTATGCTATTTTAGAAAGAATTAAGAAAGTGGAAGGGGGTCAAATCATTGACAAAAGATGGTGATCATTGAGGAAATAAACAAGTAAAAGTAAAGGTTGGAGTGGTATTTAAACTAGCACATGAGTTGATGGATGGAAGATAAAATATTGTCTAGGGATCCCAAAATTCCTTATATATTTAGATAAAATATTAGAACAATATCCTTTATATATTTGGACAGAGGGAATACACATCAATAAATAGCACGTGTGAGTCAGTGAGTATGCGACAAATTTCATAATGAACCGCATCAAAGTAATTACTACCTCCGTTCTATTTAGATCCTAGGTTAGTACAGTATATTTTAAAATGGAGAAAATAGTACTCCCATATAAAAAAATATAAGAAGCAACCATTTTTCCGATGTTTTATAATACAAGACACGTATATATATACATGCAATTAACTAATACTTTTTTTCCTATAAGTTTATTTTTCTAAAATACTCCACCCTTAACATATCTAATTCCATTAGTGTATGTGGTGTATATCATGGTGATATAATAATATTTTTTTAATCTTTAGCTTAGTGGCAGTTGCGTCAAACTCCCTCCGTCCTAAAATATAAGAGATTTTAGAAGGATGAGACATTTCCTCCCTGTCTGTTCGTCCAAAATCGCTTATATTTTAGGACTAAGGAAGTACTCCCTCCGTCCCACAAAAAATACATTCCTAGTATCCCGAGGTGGAATTAGTGGATATAGAGAATGACTAAAATACCCTTAATAATTGAAAAAAATAGTAAGAGTGATGTAGATAAAGGGTATTGAAGGGAAAAAAATTCTCGTTTTACGTGCTAAGGGTGGGTAGAATGATAGAAGTTTTTTTTTTTGATAAAATTTAAACTTTAGAAGTTGAATTTGATTTTTTTTGGATGGAGGGAGTATATTTTATTTTGGTTCGAAGGAAGTACCGTGCTAACCATACTGTCAAAGCATGCAGCAACAACGACAAAGGTGGACCTCGTTTTTTGAGCGGAAAAACCCACTATAGTTTGGATTGCAACCTTTGGTCTATACTAGCGCTGGGCTTTCTTGGGAGGGTGCGATCTATCCTAAAATCTGACTAAATTGGCCCACGGCACCATATTATCCGCTCTTTGTTTTGAATGGGCTACGAATGTTTCTGGTCCATTAGGCCGGTAGCGAATGGAAATTTAGGTGGGTCGCAAGCCTGCAACCCACAATTTGGATTAGAAAATTGGGAGTAAGTCCACTTGCCATCCCTCATCTTTACGTCGATTTTAATTGATATAACTAAACCGCAATACTAGAAATTTCCACCAATCATCTTGACAAAGCCACTCGAGTTAGGTCCCATAACAGTATGGATGGTTCTTTTGGTTGACGTGGTATCCTAGTCGTTTAAAAAGAAATATACAACATGTGGGGCTCACATGTAATTGGACTTCAACCTCTACTCGCGTATCCCCTCTCCTCCCCACCCCTCTACCTCTCCCCTCTCTTCCCTAGGAGTTCGTTGGCGGGGAGAGGAACGATGACCGACGAGCTCATCCATGAGAGGCGACATCGACGGTGGGAGGTCGGTGACAAGGGGTGTCCACAGTAAGCGATCGGTGGCGGCAGACAATCATGCCAAGCGTGAAGAACAAGCGGTGGGACGCACCAAACTAGGTGCCCAACGATTTTCGTTCCTGCCCACCCACACCAGAGCCATCGGACGCGAGGATGAACTCCCTCACCGCGCCAGTGCGCGACGACAAGAAGGAAGAATGCAGGACGTACCTCCCCATGATGGAGACGTTGAACAGTGCCGTGGAAAGGTCGCCCGATTGTGATGCGTAAGGTAAGAAGTGAAGGCGGAGGACTAGAGTTGTGTTGTCGTCGGGCACCACGGTGGCAGGTAGCCAAGCCAGTATGAGAAGTTGCTCGTGCCTACACGCATTGTGGCTAAAGAGTGTACAAATGGCTCGCGTCGGGGTTACTGAACCTGGTAACGTTGTGGGAGAACTTTCCTAATAGATTGCCATCGTTTGGGATGAATGTGCGCTATGGTGAATCGGATTTCACGACAACATTCCAACCGGCGCCACAGGAGAGTTAGATGGAGAATTGTGAAGAGAAGGTTGCCTGCCCATTGAAAGCTGAAACCAAGCTCAGAAAGAGAAGCAACAACACGATCACAACAATCCGCACGACTCATCCACCGTGGTGCGAGATGTGGCAGCCCCTGGCGACGGCGAGTGCAAGTAAATTAAGCTCATGAGCTACCTAATTGTCCATGCTGTTGCGGTGGTGATGTCAGTCATGGACTCTATGTCAACAAAAACCGCTCTAAAAACCATTGAGGGAGTTATTTTGCATGATTTTAACATTGAGGGAGTCGTTATACCTGTTTTTACAATTGAGGGATAAGAATAAGATCTAACATATATTTGAGGGACTCAAACTGGACTTATTCCTTCATTTAACCAGTGGACAGAAAAACCACGGCCTAATAGACCCAGACGCCATGTTATCAGAGACGAGCGACATCCGCCAAGCAGACAAGGGTGGGAGTGAAAAGAGAACTAGTGAATCAACTACTATAAAGCAGCAGGTTTTATAGGCTCCTTCAGTCAACGCCGCGTTGGTGGGATTAGTGATGCGTCCTTTTCATTTGCTGACACTTCTTGCAGTTACAATGATTCTTAATTAGCGGTTGGTCAAAAACAGGGACCCTAATTAGCCCATAGATATACATACTTATTTGATTGCAAACTGGAGTGTTTTATGAACTCATCCTGTGTGCACCATCTTCCTTTTTTTTCTCCTTTTCATTTTTATAAAGGAAAGATAAGCAATGCTGTATTTTTTTTTCAATTTTTTGAACACACTAACGACAGCGCAGAGATTCACTGTATATGCAGTCTACTATTACATACCAAAGATATAGTAAAAATTTGCAGCTTGCATTTGTGTTATGGATGTGATCCCGTTAGCAACTAATTAATTAAGGGCTTGTTTAGTTTGAGAACTGATATGGTGATAATTTTTTATGATTGGTGGGATGGCATGCA